ATGCAGCAGCCGATGCAGTGTCCAGGAGGGAAGACTACAGTGGCAGAAGCCCCTGCGACGCCGGACGCCCGGGCGTCACAATTTTCGATGGCCCCTCGTGGGAGGTTGTCGTGCACACGATTCGGAGTGATCCAGTTGGGCTGTGTGAGCAAAGGATGAAGCCAGAGCGAGTCCGATTATTCTCAGCTGGGTCGAACTACATGAGGCCAGATTTCAGGCAGCATCAGAGGTAAGGAGACACCAGGGGCGATGCATGATCCGACCTTCCAGACGATGCAGCCTGAACAATGCATCCCGCGTTGTCCGCCCAAGGACACACGGCGGATCGCCCAAGGAGGGGAACAGGAGGCAGGGACCTACATGAGCTTTGGGGCACCTTGAATCCCCCAAAGATCGACGAACAATGCAACACAAGATTTATTGTAGCGATATTTCTGATCGTGTTTGTCTACTTCGCTTCTTCAGTTGCGACGAACGCCTGAAGCTGAAGGGGGGTTGGATGGGGCAGGACGCGAAGGTGGAGGAGGAGGAGGACGAGGAGGGGGAGGAAAGGGAGGATGAGAAGGATATGGTCTCGTCTGTTTTCCTTTCTGCTGCTGCTCCCACTTCTTGGGGCGTGCTCAGACTTCATCTCGGATTGCCGACCGACTGAGGTGGAAGAGGAGGGTGGGAGGAAGAGGATGACGATGATGATGATAATATTGATGATGATGTTGCTGGTGATGATGATGACGATGCTGATGATGATGCTGATGATGGTGCTGATGATCATGATGCTGGTCATGATGATGATGCTGATGCTGGTGCTGATGATGGCGATGATGCTTATGCTGAGGATGATGATGCTGCTGCTGTTTATGAGTATGATGCTGATGCGGATGCGGATGCTGATGCCGATGATGATGCTGATGATGAGGAGGCGGAAGACGACGAGGAGGAGGAGAAGGAGGACAAGGAGAAGGAGGCAGAGGAGGCAGAGGAGGAGCAGGATGATGAGGAAGAGGCAGAGGACGAGGAGGAGGAGGAGCAGGAGGAGGAGGAGGAGGAGGCAGAGAAGAAGGCAGATGAGGAGGAGGAGGAGGAGGTAACAGAGGAGAAGGAGGAGGAGGAGGAAGAGGAGGAGAGGGAGGCAGGATTGGAGGAGGAGGGGGAGGAGGAGGATAAGGAGGAGGAGGCAGGAGGAGGAGGAGGAGGAGGAGGAGGAGGAGGAGGAGGAGGAGGAGGAGGCAGGATTGAGAACGAGGAGGAGGAGGAGGAGGAGGCAGAGGAAGGGGAACAGTGAAGAAGGAGGAGGACGCAGAAGATGAGGAGAAGGAGGAGGAGGAGGATAACGAGGATGATGAGGATGATGAGGATGGTGAGGATGAGGGGGAGGAGCAGGAGGAGACAGTTGAGGAGGAGCATTGAGGGAGGAGGAGGAGGAGGAGGAAAGAAAAATAAGAAGAATAATAATACTAAGAAGAAGAAAATAAACATAATAATAATACTAAGAATAAGAAGAAGAAGAGGAGGAGGGGGGAGAAGGAGGAACAGGAGGAGGAGGAGGACCCGGAAGGTGAGGAGGAGGAGGAGGAGGAGGAGGAGGAGGAGGAGGGGGGAGGAGGAGGAGGAGGAGGAGGGAGGAGGAGGAGGAGGAGGAGGAGGAGTGAGGTGGAGGGGGGGAGGAGAAGGAGGAGGAGGAGGCAGAAGATGAGGAGGAAGAAGAGGAGGAGGAGGAGGAGGAGGCAGAGTTGAAGGATGAGGATGGGAGGAGTAGGAGGGAGAGGAGGCAGAGGAGGATGCAGAGGGCGGCCCCCTGGGCGAGGCGGGTTAGGGATGACAGGCCCCCCTGCGCAGTCTGACGTGGCCTCGCCGGGTTGCCTGTTTTTGCCCATTTCCAGATCATGCGAGCTCCTGTTTTGGCTGACCTTTGAGGAGCCCCACGGGCAATCAATCAATCAGAGGACGGCCAGCACGGGAGGGGTTGCGGCCGTGCGGTGCATCGACCTGGCCCGAGGGGGGTCGTCCTGGAAGGCCGCTGGGGCCGAGCGGGCCGAGCTCCGCCGTGACAGCAGGGCGCGCGCCCTGGTAGGAGACGGGTCAGGAGCGAAAGAAGGCCGTACAGGCCCCACGCTGGATTCGAAAGTACGCATTGCGCGAACGTTCGCAGCCCGCCCGGTCCGCAAGGCTGGCCCTGCGGACTGGGCGGGCCATCTTCAGCCACGCGCAGAGGGGGGTGGGGAGAGAGGGGGGGGGGGAAGGCTTCTTAGAGCACCCCCTGCTCCTTCGAGTGCGCAGGCCTTCTCTGTAGATGGAAGGCCAGCGCCTTCTATGAAGCTGCCTTCTTATAAGACGTCTCCTCACCTCCCTCTACGTCCCCCCCTGTGAGCGACGCAAGAGAGCCACGTCGGCGCGCCAGCTGCCCGCGCGTAAGGTCGCGCGACGGCGCCCTCGTGCCCGAGACGGCCTGCGGCGGGGGCGGCCCGCGTCTGATGCGGCGTAAGGTCGCTGTGCCATCTCGCGGAATTAACGGAGGATGACGATTAATAAATGACCGGGGGTCGTGTTCACGCGGCGGCGCCCGGGATGACGATTAGAAAAAACCGGCCGCGGGCTGGAAAACTATTTCTTCAAATCGTTCTCCTCCAGTCAGAAGATTATGCAGAAATAGCAGCAAACTATGTTTTAATCGTTCTCTCCAATTTTTTGAATAATCGTCATACCGCATTACGACCCGTTCTCTATCGTCGCTCGTGTGCGTGCCGCCCGCAAGAAGGGAGGGCGCCCATCCGGCGTCGAGCGCGCCGCCAGCATGTTCGGGCGCGCGGGTGGGCGCGCCCGTCCTCCGTGGGCTCTACCCATGGAGGGAGGCGGGCCCCCGGAGGCCCTATGTGCCGCTGCCGGTCGGGCGTTGCGTGGTGGCGGTGGGGGGGCGGTGCGTGTCGGAGGTGGGAAAATCTAGGCCTCCTAGATGGGGTCCGAGCAGATGGGGTCGGAGGATCGCGCCGCATCGCCGATGCATCGGCGATGTGGCGCGATGTGGCTCGATGTGAAGCCCGATGGGCTTCCCGTCGACGTCGTCGATGCATCGCCGACGTCGACGATGCATCGCTGGTGCATCGCCGATGCATCGCCGATGCATCGGCGATGCATCACCGATGTATCGGCGATACGGCGCGATCCTCCGACCCCATCTACTCCGACCCATCTAGGAGGCCTCTAGAAAAGGTAAGTTACCCATACCCGCCGGTAGTTGAGAGTAGAAAATTGCTGGACGTCCCAGTCTATTTTGGGCGCCTTCCTACTTCACAACAGTCGAGCGGCTATCCCACTTCCCTCCCCTTCAGGGAGCCGGCGGAAGTCCAACCTACTTCCAACGTCTCCCTGCTTCATGTTTCTACCCACTTCTTCCGACCAGCAGGTGCCGCGACCCGCGATAAATGTCGGGGGAGGAAAAGAAAAAGGTACCTACGTATACCGATACCCCTCCCTCGTTCTCCTCTTTGGGGGGCCGCCTCGGAGGCTCTCCGTCGCCACCGCTGGATTCGCCTCGAACTCCCGGGGAGCAGCAGCATCGGCACCTTCTGCACCCTCCGGTGCCAGGAGGGGCCCCTCGAAGCCCAGAGGGTGCCCTCGGGATTTCCAGAGAGGCCCCCGCGGCCTCCAGGGAGCCCCACCACGGGGCGCTGAGGGCACCGTGGGCCAGGGGGGCAACTTCAGCCTTCTGGGTATCCCCGAGACTGGGGGGGGAGCAAGGGCACCTCTCTTTTGCCCAAGAGGAGCCCCCAGGGCCCAAGTGGGGCATGACAGGAGCACGCTTCTTCGCTCCCCCACTTCTCCTCCCGCCCCCCTGGCGCAGCGCCCAGTCTGGGCTCCGAAGAAGATGAAGAAGAAGAAACTTATCATTGATTCGGGCAGGGATTTTGGCTCAGCGTGTCGCGCCGCCGCCTCTGGCCCGACCTCGGTCCTCGATCCCCGGACCTCGATCTTCTGCTGCAGCTCCCGGGAGAATTCGTTCGGCACAGCGCGCTGGTGTCCCGTGGTCGAGGAGCTGTTCCAGTCAGAGCCAGGCCCGCTCAGTCCCTCTAAGTCCCGGCTACAGTCGGAGCCCTGAAGAAGGAACCCTTTTCGCTGGGTAGGGGCTCCGTGTTCCTTAATTGTTTCACAGCTTGCCCCGCGTTTTCCTTAGGTTTTCGAAGGGAAATCGAAGTTCAACTTCTGGAGAAAAAGGGGCCTCGTTCCTTATTTATCGTTCCTTAGGTCAACGCCCCGACTGTAAGTCCCGGCTAATCCTTCGCTTAGTCCTCGGCTTAATGTAATTCGATTCGGCCTTTACGGGAAGAGGACGACCGCATACGGGGTACTGCTGCTGGAGCCGTCCAGCGTCGGTTGGTCGTGAAGACGTTATCGAAACAAGTCCGACAGGTCCTTCGTTTAGCAGTGCACCCCTAGTCCTTGATCGTTGATGCGAACAGCCCCTAGGACTTGCCTCCTACTCGATCCTCGAACCTCGCTGGTCTGCTCCTCTTGGGAACTTTGTCTGTCCTGGAAATTGCGGTCTCCTCTTGCATCCGCCCGACGCGGCTTCGACGCGGGTTCGGCGTGGATTCGAGGTGGAGTCGACGCGTTCGACGTGGATTCGACGCAGATCCACTGCGGATGGCGGCGCGATGTGACAGTGAAGGCTCCCCGACGATGTAACTTACAGGCCCTTTCTGGACCCAGATCCCCGTCGCCCTGATTTTCTCACACAACGTGGACCCGTGGAGGTTTAAACTTTTTCCCTCGGGGCAGCTTTTGCGCACCCGACAGGCTGGGGTCGTGAGATTTGGGGAAACGGGCTCGCAGCCCGCCTCGCACACTCTGCTTACGCGGCCGCTGGGCCCCAACGTCTCGCGTTCTCGGACGGGGACCCCTCGAAGATGGATCGTTAAGCGGGGCTTGTTTTACGGCTCCAGAGCACTGGTGATGGTCTCCAGACGCCGAAAGCAACAGCTCATGGTGGCCCGTCGGTACTTTTTTCGCGGCGAGAGGCCTTCTGGGTTGCGCCCGGGCCAGAGTTCGGAGGGTAGCGGGTCCGTGGCGACGAGAATCCTCCCACAGAGGGGGTGGCAACAACGCCCCCGCTCGATCCTCCTCATCCTCCTCCTCCTTTTCCTCCTCCTCCTTCTCCTCCTCCTCCTTCTCCTCCTGCTCCTCCTCCTCCTCCCTTTCCTCCTCCGTAGCCATTTTGGCGCAAGCCATCTTGGCTCGAGTCATCCATGTGTCGAGCCAGCTGGGCGGGTCAGCCTTTTTTAGAGCCTGCCACATACGGCCGCCCTGCCAGGCAGGCTCCCCGGCATTTATTAGCGCCCCCCGGCATTTATTAGCGCCCCTTATTAGGCAGGCTCCCCAGCATTTATTCGGCTCCCCGGCACTTCTGATTATTCTTCTTCTTCTGGGGCCTGGCCCCGCTCTGATTCGACACCACGACTCCGTTCATCACAACACGACTCTGTTCTATCGCACGGTTTCTGAAGACTCACTTCTTCTTCTTCTTCTGGGGCCCGGCCCCGCTCTGATTCGACACCACGACTCCGTTCATCTCTCTTCTATCGCATGGCTTCTGCAGACTCGCCCGCAGGACCGCCAGCGACCACAGCCGCAGCGGAGGCGACGACCGTGGCGCCCGCCGTCTTCGCCGCTCGGGCGCCAGTGGACGGGACGCCGCAGGGGATCGAGGTGCTGCTGCACCTGCTGTGAACGCACATGGCTCTCGTCGCCGTCCCCCTCGTGATGAACCACAAAGGGATCGACGACGAGAGCGGCATCGCCCCACGACAGCGGGCCTGGCAGCTCCCCCACGGTGGGCTGCGCGTCCTGGCGGCCCGAGCGGAGGCCTAGCCCAGACTGGCGCTGCATCAAGCGACGCCCTTCCGATCCACGATCCATGGGCGGGCGCTGGCGGCAGGCTTCTCACCTCGCAGGACGTCGCGGACATGGAGGCCCTGCCCACCTTCACCAGCCAGCTCGGGGGTACGGACGCCCCACCCGCTGCTGCTTCCGGCGGCGCCGCACACCCTGCTACCAGCCCCAATGCTGCCACCGCCGCAGACTTCAGCAGCAGCTCATGGGCCTGGTCACGGTTCGCATGGCGTCCACTGTCTCGGTCACGGACAAACTAACTATGCAGGAGCACCATGGCTGCCACCCAGTCAGCCATGTTCGCGGAGATGGGCAAGTACATGCAGCCGATCGTTCAGAACACTGTGGCCCACTCCAACGAGATCCACCAGATCAAGCAGCGCCCAAGCGACACGGAGCAGGATGGCGCAACGTTGCGGGAGCAGGCGGCAGATATTCTCTCGTGCTCGGCGCTGGCGGGACGCCCGCTCTCCTCAGCGGGCCCTGCGAAGCTCGCGGAGTACGACCGCGAAGCTGACCATCTCATGCTCACGGCCAGCTGCCAGCATTTGGTCGCACGCTCGGCTGCCCGCGCATCCATCACCGACTGGATCGACACAATTCGACGCGCCTCGACCGACGTCAGCCGGCGCGCGGCCAAGGGGTGGCCGTTCTCACTCGAGAACGCAGACGCGAAGGCCGCCGCATCGGCAAGCAACCATCAGCTTGCTGCGCTGACAAGCGCTGCCATGTGAGCCAGCAGGGCATCATCAGAGGAGAGAGCCTCCTGTCCCGCACTGTCCGTCAGGACGCGATCGCTCGAGCCTCCGGCCACCACCCTGAGTTCTCTCCCCTCTTCGCCTCTTTCGGCATCCGCGCGGCCTTCCCCTTTTAGTCTGAACCCTTCGTCCACAAAGTGCCTGAGCGTCATCACACCCCGACGGGTTTTAAGAATGGGACCTCGGCGCTGTATCCAGGAGCGATCGCTCGCTTCCGATGTGGAGTTTCCCGCAAGCCTCTCTTCATGGTCTTCTGGGGTAGCTTGGGGGTGCCTCCTCTCTGGCACCAGTTTAGGCTCTCTGTATGGGCCCCTTTGTGCGCCACCTGGACTCCCAGCTGAGCTCTCCTGAGGCCCTCGCCATGTGCCCTGGCCCTGAGCGATGGTGCCCTCATCTAGAACCCGAGTGTAGCGCGACGGCAGACGATGTGGGCTCCTCTCTCCCTTCGATTCGGCTCCTCCCTCTCCTGCGCCCACCATTCGACGCCGCCCACACGACTGCGAATCGTGCGCTGCAACCTGACAAGTGCTGCGCCGCTCCTCTCGGCGCTGCTTGCACATCTGACGATGCAACATATCTCGTCCCAGGCAGCGCAGATTGGTCCGCAGTTGTCCAGCTTTCACGTTGAACCTGCCACGACGATTCTCGGTGTCGAGTTCGGGCCTGGGGCCGACCGTCAGGCCCAGTGGGCCGCGCCTTGCCGAACATGGATATCACGCACTGCTGAGATTGCCCTCGGCCGTTCGCCTGCTGACGCTCGCTGCCACATCTGCAACTTTGGAGCCATCCCAGTGCTGAGCTACACCTGCCAGTTGTTCCCTCCTCCTCTCCCGCTCCTCCGCTCCGAGCGTCACGTCCTTCGGTGCCTCCTCCGTTCCCCCCTGGATGTTTTCGGTATGAGCTAGCTGCTCGGCCTCAGATCCTGGCTCCCATCCATGGTTCCGCGGTCTGTGTTCGTGACCTCTGCTGCCTCTGCGTGGCGCACTGCGTCTCTCACTTCCCAACGGGCAGGACGGACTGGGTGGGGGGTCCTCCCGACATCTTGAAATTACATGCTCGAATGTTCGGGTCATTGCTTGACCTAGCCCGCGGAGTATGTTCACCTAGTTTTCTGGGCCAGAGGCAATCGATAGCAACATTCTTCGAGCGAGCGTTAGATCCAGCATTTGCCCCCGACGGAGAATTCCCGCTTTCCTGGTGATCGGCCACGTATGCTGCGGCCTGCGAGCTAGTATCAACCCGCGGAGAAGAGCGCCGTCCGCGTCCGCAGAACGTGCAATCCACCATTCTCTCCCCGTCTCTCTTCCCTGACCCGTTCCCCTCTGTCTTCGCCCGGTGCCTTCTTCCTTGGTTTTCATCACCCCCATCGAATGTCACAGGTTGAACTTCTTCGGGCATGGAGGCTCTCAAGGCAGTGTTCACCCGCTCTTCTTCCGCATGGGCGTGGGCCCATGTCACGGCGCTCGCAAGTGGATAGGCGACCTCCGCCAGAGTCCCTGCAGCCACCCCGTGCGAATGCTTGACTGGCTGTCAGCCCCTGACGATTTCCCCCGCTATGTTGCCTGTCCTCGTCTCCTCCATCTTCTTGCTGTCCCGCGTGGTCAGCCTCACCCCTACCCCGTCACTCGTCTGGGGCTGGGACCTGTGCCAGACCCAGGAACGGAATATCCACGCGCTCGTTGCCAAAGGGTAGACGTGCTCTCATTCCATATCTATCCAAAGCTGAAAAGTGATTCGGCCATGCGGCCTCGTGCCGCCTTGCCATCATACTACCACGAAAAACGTGCCGCTGCTCTCGTCGCGATGCGGTGCTAGAGCGCTGGCGGTAGCTGGATCACCGTCGATTCAGGCTACGTGCGCTCCTCCTCCTCCTCTTCCTCCTCCTCCTTCGCCTTTTTCCTCCTCCTCCTCCTTCTCCTCCGCCTCCCCCTCCTCCATCCTCTTTCCTCCTCCTGCCTCTTCCCCCCCCCGCCAGACATCCAACGTCGTCCTTTTCTTTCACAGCGTGGCTTGCCAGAGGTCTGGGCCCCTTCCCGGAGACGGGCTTTTCATCCTTACCGTCGTTTTGACGGTCCCTGGGCCGGCGAGGGCCCCCACACCCAGACATCCTCCGACATGACTTTGCCAATGCGCGACCCCACGAGCCTCGACTCCTTCCCAAGGCGGAGCTTTTCGCCCAGATGAACCCTTGAGGGTCCCGAAGCCCGAGAACGCCGCCAGGCTTGAAACAATCAATCTGGGGAAGCCGAAAAGGGCAACAAGAACTTTCCGTCGTGCTGTTGTGTCACGGCGCGATGATGTCGGAGCCGTCTTCTCAGAGGAGCAAGAAGTCATGATAATGATACGTTCCAAGGCTTCTGAGCTGACGATGCGTTCGTAGATCTCCTGAACCCCTCACGCTCCACACGGGCTGCATAAACGAGGGCCGCTAGATACTCCAGAATTCTTGGCACGTGTTCTCGGCCAGTCGCATCATGTCGGGTGGCCCAAACAGTGTGGTGACCACGCCGCGTGGTGAGTCAGTGGGGAATCCGGGGCCACCGCACGGTTGTGGGACTCGGGTCTTTCTCCGAGGGCGTCTCGGGCGACTGGTGCCTGCGAGGTCCCAGAACCGTGCGGTGAAGGACCGCGCGCTGAGGTCGTTGGGGATTCCGAGGCCACCCCTCGGCCCGTCACCGCGCGGCTTCTGGGGCCCCTGGTCACGACGTCCCCCCCGGCCCAACTCCGCCCCCCCGCCGCCCGAGGACGCCAGCGCACAGCAGTCCGGCTGCACCTCCCCGGAGGTGGCCACCCTGCAGCCGCAGCCGCGCCCCTGGTGGGCGCGGCCTCTCGGTCGGGCGCGGCGCGCGTTCGGCCGCCACCCTCCCCCGCCCCGGCCCCCACAGCTCCTCGCCTCGGGCCGAATTTCGGGCATGTCCCCCTACAGCAGTAGTATTCAAGAACAGCCGAAGCACAGTCTGGTGACGAAGCAGGTCCCTCCATAGCAATAGTCATGGGCATGATTAGCCTAACCATAGCATGGTGACGTAGCATGAATAGCCTAACCATAGCATGGCATATCCCTCTACAGCAGTAGTAGTCAAGAGCCGTCGAAGCACAGTCTGGTGACGAAGCAGGTCCCTCTATAGCAATAGGAATAGACATGAATGGCCTGTCCATCGTATGGTGACTCTTAGTCGTGCTCTTCCGTTGTTTCCCACAAAAAAGCACGGTTCTGCTATGTTTCGTTTTGTTTCAGGCTTCCTCTGTACGAGGGCATGCCCGACCTGACTCTGATCGGCCGCGCGCAGAGGGTGGGAGGGGGCAGGGAGGAAGGCTTCTTAGAAACACCCCTGCTCCTTGGAAGGCGCGGGCCTTCTCTGAAGGTGTAAGACAGGCGCCTTCAAAGAAGCAGCCTCCTCCTGAGAAGCCTTCGCCCCGTCATACCCCCTTGTGCGCGCCGCCGGTCTAAGCCTCCGAGACGGGGTCAGAGTAGACGGGGTCGGAGGATCGCGCCGCCTCGCCAATGCATGCATCGCTGATGCATCGGCATCGGCGGGGGGATCTGTTGCGGGTGCCTCTGGGTTTCCCAGTGCACTGTCAAGGCTGAGTTGCACGCCAAGATTGCTAACACAGAGAGGTTGCTGATGCTGCATATCATGGGAGGCGCCGTTCTCGATAGGTATTGTCATACGAAAATGCAGAGATTCGTATTGACGTTTTCGGGCGTGTTCGTCGATGTTGTTCGATCATCGAGAACACAAGACCCACTAATACCAATAACACAATGACGGCGTCGCCCAAATCAGGTCTACGTTATTGCATGAGGGATGGTCTTGCTTGCGGCTTGCTTTTGTAGATCCCTCTACCTCTCAAGGTTGTTGGCCCTCCTAACTTAGGTCCCCTCCCCAAGGGATACCTCAGGGAAGCCGTTGAGGACCCCCCCCTTCCAGTGCAACGATAACGCATTCAGCATCCAGAGGCGTCATCCTGGCACCCTGAGGAGGAGGAGGAGGAGAAGGAGGAGGAGGAGGAGAAGGAGGAGGACTGCTCATTGGACTGCTCAAGTGGTGAAGAACCCCTCGGAGCCGAGACCGCCTCACCGCGAGCGCCACCACCCCGAGGGGCCTAAGGGCCAACGCAGTCGGGGTCGGCGGGCCAGCGCCCCAGGGGGGGGGACGCCTGCATGCTCGTCCGTGCCACCTGGCCCCTGGCCGCTCCTCCCTGGCCCGCGCCCAGGGGGGGGGGTTGCCGTGCAGGCCTGGCAGGCGCGGTGGCACTACGTTCCCCCCCAGGGCCCTGCCCCAGCACTGGGCAAGCCCCGCAGACCCCCACCCTCGAGCGGTCTCCCGAAGGCGGGACAGGATGAGGATGATGACGATGATGCTAGGATGATGATGATGATGATGATGATGATGATGATGATGATGATGATGATGATGATGATGATGATGATGATGCTGATGATGATGATGATGATGATGATGATGATGATGATGATGACGATGACGATGATGACGATGATGCTGATGCTGATGCTGATGCTGATGCTGATGCTGATGCTGATGCTGATGATGTTTATGATGTTTATGATGATGCTGAACATGCTGATGGTGCTGATGAGGATGAGGATGAGGATGCTTGTGATGATGATGATGTTGGTGATGATGCTGATGATGATGTTGATGCTCATGTTGATTATGATTATGACGATAGTGGTAACGCACGAACTGATGATGATGACGATGGTGATGCGGATGCTGCTGCTGCTGGTGATGCGATGATGATGCTGATACTGATGATGGTGATGATGTTGCTGATGCTGATGCTGACCATGTTACTGACGATGATGATGATAATACTGATGATGCTGCTGATGATGATGATGATGAGGATGATGATGAGGATGAGGATGATGATGATGATGGTGATGACGATGATGATGATGCTGATGATGCTGTTGATGATGATGATGCTGCTGCTGATTATGATGATGATGCTGCTGCTGATTATGATGATGATGATGCCGATGATGCTGATGATGATGATGATGATGATGATGATGATGATGATGATGATGATGATGATGATGATGATGATGATGATGATGAGAGTGTTGATGCTTATGATGATGAGGATGATGAGGATGAGGGAGGAGGGAGATGAGGGTAGGAGATGGTGGGAGCTGCTGAATCAGAACCAGGACCCAACACCACATGATGGGTGGGACACGAGTCTAGACGTCGGATCTCCGGGTCGATCGGGCGCCGCCTGCCGCCGCCTTCCTCGGCCCTGCGCCCTTGTCCCAGGCGAACGGCAGCTTCAAGAATCCGCTTCTATCTCCTCCGCCTCCGTCCCTTTCTTCACCAAATCTTCCATTATATCCTCCTCACCCTCCTCGTTATCCGTAAGGGCTTCGCCCCCTGCCGCCGGCCCCCTCTCTCATGGGCCGAGAGATGATGGGCTTCATGGAAGACTGCTTAGAGTCATGGAGGCTTGCGATTGGCGCAGTTTGGGTTCGCCTTGATGGATGTGCGTAAGGGTGGCACCGAATTTCAGAAATGTGGCAAATCCCCTGTGTTTTTGGACCCTGACCCCGCGGATCTGCGTGAGGGGTGGCACCGAATTTCAGAAATGTGGCAAATCCCTTGTGTTTTTGGACCCTGACCCCGCGGATCTGCGTGAGGGGTGGCACCGAATTTCAGAAATGTGGCAAATCCCCTGTGTTTTTGGACCCTGACCCCGCGGATCTGCGTGAGGGGTGGCACCGAATTTCAGAAATGTGGCAAATCCCTTGTGTTTTTGGACCCTGACCCCGCGGATCTGCGTGAGGGGTGGCACCGAATTTCAGAAATGTGGCAAATCCCTGTGTTTTTGGACCCTGACCCCGCGGATCTGCGTGAGGGGTGGCACCGAATTTCAGAAATGTGGCAAATCCCTTGTGTTTTTGGACCCTGACCTCGCGGATCTGCGTGAGGGGTGGCACCGAATTTCAGAAATGTGGCAAATCCCTTGTGTTTTTGGACCCTGACCTCGCGGATCTGCGTGAGGGGTGGCACCGAATTTCAGAAATATGGCAAATCCCCTGTGTTTTTGGACCCTGACCCCGCGGATCCGCGTGAGGGGTGGCACCGAATTTCAGAAATGTGGCAAATCCCTTGTGTTTTTGGACCCTGACCTCGCGGATCTGCGTGAGGGGTGGCACCGAATTTCAGAAATGTGGCAAATCCCTTGTGTTTTTGGACCTTGACCCCGCCGATCTGTGTGAGGGGTGTCGATTTCGAGCCCCCCCAGCAATTCAGGCAACGCGCCCAGGCGGTGCTAAAATGCTGGTTTGGGCCTCCCCCCCCCTCGCGCGGTCAATCAACTAGTTACTGTAACCAGCAATAAGCAGAACTGGAAACTACAAGCTACAACTGGTACAGGAAACTGCGAATCCCGCGCCTACAGCCTGGTGGCCCCACAAGGGGGCCGGCGGATATGCCTTGTCCGTCTCTTTCTTATCCGTCTTCTCCAGCTTCCCTTGTATTCTCTCATCAGAAACCTCCTCCTCCTCCTCCTCCTCCTCTTCCTCCTTCTCCTCCTCCTCGTCTTGCGGTCCACATTTTCCAGGCCTCCCAGATGGAACTTCCCAGATGTGGTCGGAGGGTCGCGCCGCATCGCCGATGCATCTGAGATGACAAAACAGGCAAAGCCGCCGACGCGACGCCGACGACCATGACGACGGCAGCGGCGGCGGTGAGGGGGGTAGCGGCTGCGACGGCGCTGACGGAGACGGCGACGGCGGTCAGGCGGGGCTAGGACTGGGGCGCTCGGGAACGGGAACGCTCTCAGAGCGTTTGGGAGCGCTCTGGAACGGACAAAACGCCCCATACTCCAGAGCCGCCAGATCTCGAAGATCCCCGATGTGTCCTGGTTCGATGTTGGGTCCAGTCCTTCTCTCGCCGTAGGCGGCGAGGGCGGCTTCTTCGACGACGGCCCGCCGCGGCCTCGGCAACGCCGTCGGCGGCGGGCGAGGGCCGTCGGCGGTGAGGGTGGCGGCGGCTGCGGCGACGGCGGAGACGCGGGCGGCGGCGCCGACGGCGACGGCGACCACGGCGAGGGTGGCGGCGTAGACGACGATGGCGGCGGCGGCGGCGGCGGCGGCGGCGAGGGCGGCGGCGCCAATGGCAAGGCGGCGGCGGCGAGGGTGGCGGCTTTGACGGCGGCGGCGGGCGGCGGCGGCGGCGACGGCGGCGGCGCCGCTGAGGCCGCGGCGGGCGGCGGGCGAGGGCCGCCTCGGCGTGCCGAGCTCGCCGCTGTGCGACGCGGGCTGGTTGGCAGGCCGCCGCCGCCAGAGCCCCCTCGTATTTGGCTCAGCATCGCTCGGACGTGTGCCTTTTTTGGTCTCGGCGAGGACCACCGAGGAGCCTCTTGGGTCATCCTGCGGAAGAATACGCACGAAGCCGGCACATGCACCGGGATTGGACGTCCGAGCGATGGCGCGGATTGACAGTGGCCACGCGTGTTGCTAACAGGCCCATCTGGTAACATGTGAATTGCTACCTGTGGTGCGCGCGAGATGTTTTTTGAAAACTTCTGGCTGAGACAGCCTTGCTGATCCGTCGGTTCATGGTCGAAAGGAGTGATTTTCAAGCAGTGGCGAAGCGTCCTGGCTCGCCTATAGCCCTACCAAACAATGTTGTAAGAACCTTTTGTGGTTTCCCACGAAATGTTCTGATAACATTTCTGGCTGGGATCGTCTTGTTTTATCACATCGGGTTTATGTTCTAAGAACATTGTTTTGTTATTAGAACATTTTTGGGTTCTAAGCACATTTCGTGGTATGACTATAGGAATGCCGGGACGGTCGGTCCCTGCTCAGGATTTTGTGAGGGATGAGGCGGAGGAGAATGAGGAGGAGGAGGCGGAGGAGGAGGAGAAGGAGGAGGAGGAGGCAGGGGAGGAGGAGAGGCAATTTCGTAGTGCTTCGGCCTACAGGATAACTGGGACGCTCGGCCTCTGCTCAATTGTTCCTCCTCTCTCGCTCACGGAGTAACGACGTTTTGTGTTCTCGGCTCGCGCTGGGTCTTCACGTGGCATCGCTCGGACGCGTGCATTTTTCGGCGAGGGCCATCGAGGAGCATCCTGGATCATCGAGCCCCCAAAAACACGCACACAACCGACAAGTGAACGTGACATGGACTTCCGAGCGAGGGCAAGTCACGAGTTGTCCAGATTTCTATATAGAGATCCCTGGGTTCCACGACGGCCAGCAGGCCGCCGCCACCGTCAGAGCCCGATGCAGCGCTTCTTCTCTCCCGCTGATGGCGGCTGCGCGCCCAGGGGGGGAAGGCCTCCCTGTCGGGGAGGCTCTGCAGTTTCTCACGTTTCCGCCGATGCCACGCTGTCTTCCAGCTTTCCAGCCGCTGCGCCTCTCCGAGGGCCTTCCCGGGGTGGCCGACTCGACCCGAACGGCTGCCGGGAGCTCGAGTCATGACCCCAAAGTTCCCCCCCTCTGGCCAGAGAGGGCTGCTCTTCTAAGACTCAGAAGGCCTCCAGTCCTCTGGGGAGCTCTCTGGGCTCTCTCCGAAGCCACAGCGGGGGCTTCTCGGGAGGTCTGAGGACTTCAAGCCCCGCAGCCTTCTGAGATGGCCTGCCCGCTCTCACTCCCCCCTCGCCGCGCCGCCGATAAGGGTGTAAGGACTTTCGCGGGTCCACGACGCGCGCTGGACCTTCCGCGATGTGTCAAGATTTCTGCGGAGATCTCTGGATCTGCCTAGGATTCTCTGGGCTTGCGTCGGACCTGCATCGATGCATCTGGCCCCATTCTCGCAGGTCGATCGGAGAAGAGTCGTCACGAACTTGGGGGCGGGCTTCTTTTCCCCCTCCCTCTCCGTGCTACTTCCTTCCCCTCTCCCTCGTCCTCCCTCCCTCCCTTCCCCGTCATCCCCCCCTCCTTCCCGCCACCCCTCCCTCGTCCCCATCAATCCTCCCTCTCCCTCTCCACTCCCCCCGCGCCCCACCCTCCTCCCTTCTCCCTTCTCCCTCATTCATCCCGTGCCCCCACTCTCCACCTCCCTCCTTCTGCTCCCCCTCTCTTTTCCTCCTCCCCCCCTCCTCTTGACTCAGGAAATGGGGGGGAAAGAGAAAGAGAGAGGAGGAGACTGACACGGATGAGTAAGGAGAGGAGGAGGAGGCGGAGGAGGATGAGGAGGAAGATGAGGAGGAGGGTGAGCAGGAGGAGAAGGAGCAGGAGGGAGAGAATGAGGATACGCAGGACGATGATGTTGCTGATTGTGATGCTGATGATGATGATGATGTTGATGATGATGATGATGGTGATGATGGTGATGACGTTGATGATTCTGAGTATGTTGCTACTGATGGTGATGATGTTGATTATGATGATGCTGCTGATGATGATGATGATGCTGATGCTGATGATGATGATGATGATGATGATGATGATGATGATGGTGAGGAGGAGGAGGAGGAGGAGGAGGAGGATTAGGAGCAGGAGACAGATGAGGATGAGGCGGCGAGACCTAGGTTTGAGACGTCGTGTTTGTTTCCGCACCGCGGACCCCCAGAGGTCTAGGACTGGCATGGCGGAGGAAGCGGAGAAGAGGAGGAAGGACCGACGTAAGGACGGAGGAGTAGGAGGCAGGGAAACATTGGAAGGAGGCGGAGGAAGAGGACGAGGAGGAGGCAGAGCACTGCGAAGAGGAGGAGACCGAGGGACACTATGAGGAGTACGGGGAATTCAAAGAGGAGCGCTGCGCGCAGGAGTTGGAGCATGAGGAGTAACACGGAACGGATGAGTGTGAGTCTGATGGGTGATGGTGATGTTGATGAGCAGAAGGATGAGAAGTGGCACGACAAAGAGGATTCACCCCAGCATGATGAGGAGGATTCGTATGATGAGAGGGACGAGAAAAAGTGCGACGAGGAGGTACAGGAGTAGCAGGAGGGGGAGAACCAGGAGGATGAGGCTCAGGATGCTGCTGATGATGTTGATGATGCTGCTGCTGATGCTAATGATGATGAGGATTACGCTGCCGATGATGATGATGATGAGTATGCTTATGATGCTGATGATGATGATGATGATGATGATGATGATGATGATGATAAGGATGCGGATGAGGATGATGATGATGATGATGATGCTGATGATGATGATGATGATGATGATGTTGATGCTGCTGATGCTGATGATGATGCCGATGATGCTGACAATGCTGATGATTACGACGCTGCTGATGACGAGTGTGATGATGCTGATGATCATGATGCGGATGCTGATGCTAATGCTGATGCTGATGATGCTAGTGATGCTGGTGATGAGCATGCTGATGGTGCTGGTGAGAATGGTGACGCTGATGGTGATGATAATGATGACGTTGATGATGATGAGGCTGACGATGATGATGATGATGATGATGATGATGATGATGATGATGATGCGGATGATGATGAGGATGATGATGATGACGATGATGATGACGATGCTGATGATGATGATGATGATGCTGATGTTGCTGCTCATGATGCTGACGCGGATGCTCCTGATGATGAGGATGCTGATGCTGATGGTGATGATGGTGATGGTGATGATGATGATGATGATGCTGATGCTGATGATGATGATGATGATGATGATGATGATGATGATGATGATGATGATGGTGTCGCTGATGATGTCGATGATGATGATGATGCTGATGATGCTGCTGCTGATGATGATGATGATGATGATGATGACGACGGCGATGGTGGTGGTGAGGGTGATGGTGCTGATGCTCAGGTGCAGGAGGAGGACGCGAGGAGGGCGGCGATGACGATGATGGTGTTGATGTTGATGATGCTGATGATCCTGATGCTGATGCTGATGCTGCTGCTGCTGATGATGAGGAGGAGGAGGGAGGAGGACGATGAGGGGGATAAGGAGGAGGTGTAGTGGAAGGTGAGGGCGAGGGCGAGAAGAACAATGAAGCGGACGCAGAGAAGGAGGACGACGGCGATATCGAACATTTTGACGACGACGCCGAAGGCGCAGGCGGATCAGGAGCAGGAGGACGCGCGAACACTCTTAGCAGCCACCCTGGCTCAAAACACATGTTTTAGGGATACTGGAGCCTGGCTGTGTTGAGTCGTCTTCTGACGGCCACGGGACCTTCCCGCAGAGCGCAAATACTATCCATCATCTCCTCCTGTTGGGTGTGAGTGTGTTTGCAGCGAGAGGAGGTGTGGACAGAAAATGATGAGGAGGAGGGGGGGGGGAGGATAGATCGAAGGCACCCAACAGAAGAAAAACTGTGTCAGCCGACTGGTGCGCCATGGTCATGCCTGATGTCCCTTTGAGCCCGCAGCGCCCCAGGGTACCTTGAGAAGCTCAGAGTCAACGAAGGAGGTGCCCCCTAGATCCTGTTTTTGCAAGATCTATTGTCGTGTGATGTGCCCATTGTTGCAGATCCCTTCCCTTCGCGCTGATTTGTTCGCTGTCCGCGGGCGGGTGCCATAGCCGTCCTGGACCCGCAAACAAGAGCCCACCATGCTGTGCGCAATCGGAAAAGTGCTGTTGCGTACAGAGGAAGAGGAGGATCAGGAGTAAGTGCCTGGTGAACAGGAGGACGAGCAGGAGGAAAAGTTGGAGGATGTGAGAGGACGGGGACGATGACTACCAACAGCAACATCAGCATCCATTGGAGTGGAAGGAGTGAGAGGCGCAGACGGACCAGGGGAAGGCGGAGGAGGGGAGCGACACCGATGACCAATGACCAGGATTCAGAAAAGCTGCCCACGCGGGGGGCAGAGCGCTATTCTGACCGATTGGAGCAAAGCGTTGATCGGACACGAAGGAGCACCATTCTTAAGCACTGAAAACTATCGGATTGTGCAAACACATGAAAACAACTCGGCCAGATTCGGTGAGCCAGAAAAATACGCAGGGGGTGTCCGAGATCTTCCGGACAGGGTTAGGGCAGAGAGGAGAGTACTAAGGAGGAGAGAGGAGAGATGAGAGAGGATATTAGAGATTGGAGAGGAGGAGGCGGAGGAGGAGGAGGAGGAGGAGGAGGAGGAGGAGGAGGAGAGAGAGAGAGAGAGAGAGAAAGAGGTGAGGAGGCGGAGGTGGAGGAGAAAGAGGTGGAGGAGGGGGAGGTGGAGGAGGAGAGAGGAGGAGGAAAAGGAGGCGGAGGAGGAGGAGGAGGAAGAGGAGGCGGATCATAAGGAAGAGGAGGCGGAGGAGAAGGAAGAGGAGGAGGAGGCGGAGGAGAAGGAAGAGGAGGTGGAGGAGAAGGAAGAGGAGGAGGCGGAGGAGGAACAGGGGGAGGAGGAGGAGGATGGGGGAGTCAGAATAGGATAGGGGGAGGAGGGAGGGAGGGGAGGAGATGGAGGGCCATGAGTAGAGAAGAGGCAGGACGAGGGGAGACTCTCTGGACTGGTGGGCGGCGTGGCCCCGCCAGGCGACGGCGCGGCTCCAGACGAGGTGCGCGGCATCTGGGGCGACGCCAAGCCGGGGGCGCGCCACCCTCCCTGGGGCTGCAGGGCTCGTATCGATTCCTCCGATTCGATTCGATTTCGATGGTTTCCGACCCCGATTCGATTCGGCGTCGGATTCAGATTTGTGCTACGATTTTTCAACGGTAGCCTACTAGCCTGCCGATGTCCGCCGATTCGACTTCTCCCACTCGGCAGCCGATTTCCACCGATCCGATTCACCCGGGCGACGCAGCAAAGAATCGCGACGGCCGATGGCTCGTCATTTGGGACCTTTGGAGGCCGTTTCCCGGTCCCAGGACCGTCGCAAAACAGCTCAGGATGAGAATCTGGCCCTGGGGAAGTGGTCGAAGCTAAGGGGGCAGACGTCGCGAAAAAGTTGCAACGTCGGAGAAGAGGGGCGGCAGGAGGAGAAGGGGAGGAGGAGAATGAGGAGTAGGAGGAGGATTCTTCCCACTTCTTTTGTTGGCCGGAGCCGCATCTGCCGCAGGCGCCGTGCATGACGGACGCGAGCTCCGGGCGTGCGCGGGAAGCTCTCAAAGAGATGTTCAGCATCGTTTCTGTTTTATTATGAACATAATTATTCCTCTCTTCGCTGTCCGTGCGGTCAGGGATACACTCTTCTCAGGGGGACAGTGGGAGGGAAGGGAGGGAAGGGAGAAGGACAAGCTAGGTGCGCTCGCGTCAACATCTGACATCCTACCCCTCCCTCCCATCCCTTCCCATTGAGCTACTTCATTGTCCTCTCACCGAATCGGGCTTCGCATCTGACCCTGTTACCTAAGAGGGAAAGGAGGAGGACGACGGCGCGATGAAAACGAAAACGAAGACGACGACGACGAAGACGACGACGACGACAACCACGACGACGACGACGACGGCGGACGACGACGACGACGACGACGATGAGGACGACCGGCGACGACGACGACGACGACGACGACGCGACCGCGCCGGAGCGGCACCCGCGCCAGCTGCCCGCTGCCGTTACGCGCGTCCCCCACCCGGATCTCAAATTTCTGCAGGGGTGAAAGGAGAGTAGCATTCATATTGGGTAATGGTAGAGTGGGTCCGATGTCAGAGTTGTGCAAGTGCACTCATATTGAGTAATGGTAGAAACTCCCGGGAATCCTGTGCGGAAAAGGACGCCGCCCAAAAGGGGGGGGGGCTTTCTGCGGCCCCAAAAATCAACGAATCGACACCGGATGTGTAATCACCTCCAATGTTTTTGCCGGGGATCATTTTCTAGATTTGGGGCTTCTTAAAAAGGATCGAAAACGTCGGCGCTGCAGCGGGAGCACGTTTTGGAACAACGAGAGGCGCAGAAATTGGGCCAGCGCTGCAGCGGGAGCACGATTCGGAACGAGCGGGAGCGCGGAAATGAGGCCAGCGCTGCAGCGGGAACACGATTCGGAAGGAGCGGGAGCCCGAAAATTAGGCCAGCGCCTCAGCGAGAGCAGCATTTTAGAAAAAAACACAAGCGAAAACCCAACTCCGGGGAATCCTGTGTGTAAAAAAACAGTACGCGGGGGGGTGCCGAATATCTTCCGGACGCCATCAGGGGAAGTGGGAGAGCAGTATTCATATTGTGTAATTGTAGAGGAACAGGAGGGGGAGGAGGGCCCTCTCCTTCGTGTCCCCGCTACTTCTCCTCCTCATTCACGAGGCTTGAGGCCTGCGCACCGCACCCGCAGTCCCTCGGGGAGGGCTCCAGAGCTGTGGGCGGCCGTGCGTGGCGGGCGCCAGGGGCGGGGGAAGCATGGCCTTTTGGCCCCCTTTCTCCGCCCCCTGTCCTGGATGCCGCGAGCCGAAGCATCTGTGCAGCGCGCACTCGTCTTCAAGGCTGCCGGCGGTCACGCGGACGTAGGGCGGCCCGCTGTCAGAGGGTGGTCCTCGACCCTACGCTGCGCGCGTGCGTCTGAGGAGCTTGTAGCGGCTATGGCACCGGGGAACAGTTTCTGTCCAGGGCGGGGCTCTCGCTTGAGATCCCCTCTGCTCCTACGGCCCTTCCGACCAGAAGCTGCGCTGATGGGATTGGTTCGGCCGAAGGTGGCCAAGACAACAAGAACACATGTGAGCCAGCGTGGACCCCAAACAGTGATTTCGTTCAACCCATGCGGCACACTCTAGGTCGTGCAAACAATGTCGTGCAATCTAGATGGTGCAGTCCATGTGGTGCAATCTATGTGGCGCGAAGCAAGGCAAAGCAATGCAACTCAATCCACTGCAACGCAATGCAACTCAAGGCAACGCAATGGAAAGCACTGCAAAGCAAAGCAATCCAGCGCAATGTGAAATAATGCATGCACAGCAACGGAATGCAAAGCAGTGCACGTCAATGCAGTTCGATGCGCACATATGCAAACGAATGCACAGCAGTGTAAGGGACATGCAAATCACTGCACTGCGATGTGAAGCTATGCACCGCAATGCACAGCTATGCAAAACAATGCAAATCAACGGAACGAAAGGTTAAGCAATGCGATGCATTGCGAGTGCAATGCAACGCAATGCCAAGCAAGGCAAGCAATCGTCCATCGACCCCGCACGGTGCTATGATTTTTTGCCGCGCTCCTTGACGCCTTTAGTTTTGCTCACAAGTGTCGTCGACACAATCTGTGTGAAGGCTCAGTCGAGGAGCGGATTCACGCTCGTCTAAGGGCAATCGTCTGCCGACACCGTTCACTGGCTGAGCGCCTGCAGATTGAACGGCGTGTTCGTCTTCTCTAAAATCCTGCTGGCTGAACTGCTCTGCCTGAGAGCAGGCCACCTTCTAAACAAACAAGTAACAAAGTCAGCAGGAACCGGTCCAAAAGAAAGCAAGGCAAGGCACCTCAAATCAAAGCAGATCAAAGCAACGCACAGCTAAGCAATGCAACGCAGTGCAGTGCAATACAATGCATCACAAGGCAACGCAATGCGAACCAAATCAACGCAACGTACTGCGATGAAAAGCATTGCAGCGCAATGCGCAGCCATGCAACGCACTGCAAATCAATGTGAATCAAGGCAATGCAGCGCAATGTTAAGCAACGCGAAGCGTGCGATCGCAATGCGACGCAGTGCAATGCAACATGATGCAAAGCGGCGCAACGCAATGCAATGCAACAGAACGCAACACAATGCAAAGCAATGCAGCACCATGCGATTGCACTGCGAAGTAGTGCCCAGCAGTACCCAAGCAATGGTGAAGAACAATGCGACGCCATGCGATCGCAACGTAAGCACTGCACAGCAGTGCAGTGCGAAGCCAATGCAGTGCGAACGCAGTGCAGTCCTGCGGCGCGGCGACGGCGTCGGCGACGACTGGCGATGGGAGGCCACGTGCGGCCCGGACCGCCAGTTGGGCCCCGTCACCCCAGAAGAGAAGTGATCGGGGGTGGACAGACCTCCTACCCTGACACGTCGATTAAGGAATTGGCCGTTTTCGCTTCGCGAGAGGGCGTCGCGGCCGTCATTTTTGCGGGTCCAGGTCCGTCGGTTTGGGTCCCAGGCCGTTTTCACTAAGGGGAGGTTTACTAAACGGAGGCTTGTCCACCGCTGAAGTGAGAACCCCTAAGCGCAAATACTGTTGGGGAGTCTGCTAGGCTGATGTGCAGCAGACGTCTGGACAGGCAGCATGTCTTTTCCCACATGGTTTTCGTTTCTGATGACCCGATGTTTGGACAGCGTGCAGCTATTTGTGCGGATGGAGGGCGGACCGCGTCCACAATAGGGCCTTCTCTTGACGCTCTGTCTTGCTTCAGTTGTCGCGCGTGTTGGCACTTATGATCGTTTCAAGGGTGGAGGGGCGCTTCAATTTCACAGCGCGCATGTCTGGTCCAATGGCAAAAACGTGAATTATTGATGCTTCGCGTATCTACACGAGCCGTGAGGCCTCGGCTTGCTGCGTTAGTCGTAGCCTGTTCGCGCTGCCTTTGCTTAATTAGTCTCTGCTTAGCCCGCTTTGACCTGACTCGCCGCCGGCGCGCTCGCCCGCGGCCGCTGACTAAACAGCATATGCACGAGCCCCTTCAAAAACGATGCCCAGGCGAGGCACCTTGATCAGAGAAGTCTATGTTAGAAGTATCCAGTGGAACAAACAGCGGGGCAGCTGTCAAGCCGAAGCTTGGGATCAGGTTAGTCTATCGTCGACCAACGTCCCATTTCGGATTTTTCGCTTTGCGAGACTGTGGGCGGCTTCATTTGGCCATCTTGGTGCTCTGTTGGGGCCATCTTGCAAGCTTGTTGGGCCATCTTGGACCACCTTGCGCCATTTGACAGGTCACCTTGGGCTATCGGGGGCCTTTTTTTGCCATCTTGGACGTTCCCAGGCGTCGCGACCAGCCCCCCCCTTCAGACCCAGGGGAACGGGTAGGGGAGAGGGGTCTAGATGCCCCCTAAATAGCAGCCCTCCCACCCGCCCTCCCAGCACATCAGCAACACCCGAGCCTGAGCATGCTCAGCGGTCGTCTTTGGATGGGCAGCTACTGGGAACCAACACCGCCCCCATGTGCGCGACGCTGGGGCGAGGTGCGCGACTCGTGCCAGGCGCGCTACGCGCGCTGGGTACCCCTGGGCCCGAGCGTGCCAGGCATGCCTGGTGCGCCAGATGCACCACGTGCTCCGCGTGCGCCGTACACTCCAGCCGCGCCAGGTGCCCCACGTTCGGGGCACGCGCAGAGTGTGCCAGGTGCACCTGCGCTCGTGACAGCACACATCGAGGAACATGTCGGCCCCCACCACCCTTGTCGAAAACCAATGCCCATCATTGTGTTTGGTGGGCCTGCGCACAGCAGGCCATACGCCACCACCCCCGCCGTTCCTGTCAATAACCACTTGACAGTGATCGCGGGGTGGCCGCGCACGATCCAGATTTAGCCGCGAGGTGCAGTGTGTTTCTTTTGCAGGGATGGTAGCCCTGCGCACAGCAGACAATTTGCTGCCCCCCCCCGGCGTCCTCGTCGAAAACAATACGACGTGCTCGCGGGCCTCACGAACATGACCCAAGACTTTGCTCCAAATTGTACTTCGTATTGTCTT